GCTCCATCGATATTAATGACATTCCCTTGTGTACAGAGCCAACTTTTAACACAGTAACAAGCATTAGATGTCCCTGGGAATTTCATTTGTCCAAGGCCATTAATAATAACGGTTGTATCGACATTGGTAATGGGTCCATTACCTTGACATGAATTATTAATATTAAAACGATTAATTAATCAATCATACAAAAATATGAATGGATTCATACCGGATGACGGTATAACGAGATTAGCCCCGTTAGTACATTGCAATGTATTCCCGCAAATAATACAAATCTGTCCTTGGGGTTGTACGGTCGGTGTTATAATAGTTGGTACAATGTTAGATGTTAATTTGCAACAAACCTGTCCTACACCTGGACAGAGAGATGTCTGTTGACGCGGAATAATAATACCTTCTCCTGATGTACCAATCACTACAATGTTTTGGGGATCGCATTGCCAACTCCATACGCATATGCAATTAAGACCAGGTATTCCCGTAGGTAGGATAGGATAACCCGTTGGAAAGATTATTGGAGGAAGCGTAGATTGCATAGTTGTTGCGGTCGTAGGTGGTTTTGTAGGAGGTGTTGTAGGTGTTGTAGGAGGGGTTGTAGGAGGTGTAGTAGGAACTGTCGTAGGAACTGTTGTAGGAGGTGGTTTAGTTGTAGTAGTAGTAGTAGTAGTAGTAGTTGTTGTTGTTGTTGGAGTGACAATAGGAGCTGCAGTGCTATTAGGTAATTTGCAACAAACTTCCAAATCCCCGGTACATCTTCGATACCTATTAAATATCGAATACACATTGATTTTTTTTTTCCCCCCAAATAATACAGATCCCATTAAAATCTTACCTGATATCTATATTTCCTGCTCCGTCGGTTATAATGGTGGTATTAGGATCGCAAAGATAATAAGGTACACAAATGCAATCCGTAGTTGGTGGAGTACTAGCGATTTTTTCTAATTTTTCTAATTTAAATTTGTGAAGATGAAAGAAGGAAGGTGAAATTAATTCGATCTTCGATCGATCCTCGATAAATTTAACGAAGGACGATGTATTCATTGACGATGATCCTCTTGTTAATATTCCATCGATCGTTGTTGTCGATATTAACGCGATGATCGTTAACGAAAAACAATGACGATACATGACAAATATATTCGGGTCGTCGTTTCTAGTCGACAGCTCAACTTCTATTGAACGATTTTATTTTTTTTATACGAGCGCGAGTGTTTTATGTTGTCTATATATATACATATATATATATATATACATAAAACATACATAGACAGGATGTAGTAGTACTTTCCGGTTTATGGGAAATATCCAGATTCAGATACGAAACTCTAACAGCGTTTGCTTTTGTTACAGGAGTGAATTACTGATCGAAAACGTGAACGAACAATAGACACTTACTGTCACGTATTTGCTATTTAAAAAGACAAAAAAGAAAAAAGAGGGGGAGGGAAAAAAAAGAAAAGAAGAAATTACAAATTAAAAATGTATTATAAAATTCGAATAAACTGTATGGATCATTGGGATAATCCATCGATATAGATTATAAATCGACACGTAGATTATTCGAAAAGGAAGAATATATTAGGGTCAACTTGGCGTGACGAACTACGTTCTAATGTGTGACCTATTTATTTAACACATATAAAAGGGAGCGCAGTTAATTTGTGTTGTAAGAAAAAATAAAAATAAAAATAAAAAAAAAAGTAAAAAAAAAAAAGAAAACAAAGAACATGTGTAAAAACAGAATAGTTGAATTAATATTATCTTTTGATTGTTTTTTTTTCTTTCTTTTTTTTCTATTTTTTTTTTTTTTCGTTTTTTGTTTTTTTTACCAAACAATAATATTCATAATACAAAATTCACACGTAAAAAACACTTAATTAAATATCGTAAAATTATACATCAATAATAATAATAATAATAATAATAATAATAATAATAATAATAATAATAATAATAATAATAATAATAATAATAATAATAATAATAATAATAATAATAATAATAATAATAATAATAATAATAATAATAATAATAATAATAATAATAATAATAATAATAATAATAATAATAATAATAATAATAATAATAATAATAATAATAATAATAATAATAATAATAATAATAATAATAATAATAATAATAATAATAATAATAATAATAATAATTAAATAGCAGTAATTATATGTACCAAAAAGAGGTATTTATCATGGCGATATTGCAAAAAATGTTACATAATATAATAACAAACAAATTGATTTCATTACTCTGGCAGCGGCATATAGGAACATTTGTAAAAGCAAAATTGAAAAATAAACAAAAAAAAAACAAAAAAAAAACTCCCTATTCTTTTTCTGGCCCTTTTTGATTTTGCGAATCAAAAAAAGAAAAAGAAAGGAAAGAGAAAGAAAAAAAAAATTAATGCACCTTTAGCATGAAATATGGGCCTATTTGGTATTGATCTATATTTTGATATATATAGATCAATACCATTAACTATTATTATACATGAAAATCTATTGGAAGATGGTGATATTCTTTTCTTCTTCTGTATATTTCTTTTTTTTTCTTTTTCTTTTTCTTTTGACTTATAAAAATTATTATATTTGTACAATTCTATTAAATTCTACTATTGCGTAAAATAAGAGAACGCATACATACATATATATATATATATGTGTGTATCGCATATATACATACCATACGTATGTATATATATATATATATATATATAATGTGAAAATTAAATGAACGAAACAAAAAATTAGATATTGCTCAAATAATAAGTAACAATATCATGACAATAATTTATATTAATCTCTTGTATGCTTTATATTTATACATTTATCATCTCTTGCTCTTCACAATTCACGATTCAATTTATTTATTATATTTTAATACGTATATATCACGATTTCAGTCAAACAGTAATCGATCAACGAAAAATAGAGCAGGACGATATTAAATTTTGTGCAATTAATTAATTATATCTTATCATAGAACAATTATTTAAGACTTAATAGAACTTATAATATCTCTAATATGTAATATTATAATATATATGAATAAGTAATAAAATATTTCTTTTTAATACTACTTTTTTTAAATACTACTCTGGTGTGTATGTGTGTGTGCAATTGATATAAAATAATAACAATAATAATAATAATAATAATAATAATAATAATAATAATAATAATAATAATAATAATAATGATAATGATAATGATAATGATAATGATAATGATAGTCTTTGACAGGAAAAAAAGTATCTTTGGAAAAACGTACAGCCAAATATAGTTTGAATAGTTAAACTCATTTACAAAATAATAGTTACAATAATATTATACTATTACAATATATGTATTTGATTTTCAACAGAAAAAAAAAAACCATTGGAACACAAACTGTTATAATATATATATATATATATATATATATATATATATATATATATATATATATATGTATATACATACATACGTATATAAGTATATATAAATGTTAAATAGATATAATATGAGAGCAATATGGTGATTTTACAGAACTAATAATGCAAATGAATAAAAAGAAAAATCATATTGAGATCATTTTACAAATCTAATAATACTTTTTGAAATACTATCATTAGAACGAATGTTTATTTTGTTGAAATAGAAATTCTTTGTTTTTCCCTTTTTTCCTTTTCCTTCTTCTTCTTGTTTTCTTTTTTTTTCTTTTTTTTTTTTTTCTTTTAATTTTTTAATAACTACAATTATATCAATAATTACATAATCAGGCACATGAACGAATGACTTTAGTGAAACTAGAAATCTAATATATGATGTATCGATCCCTTTTTTTTTTCTTTTTAGAAAGTTTGACAATCTAAGTTTTGCATAATAGAAAAAAAAAAAAAAAAAGAAAAAAGAAATAATAAATTTTAACGTAACGCCATATTTAAAAATGTACGTCAATTTTATCATAGAAAATTGTTAATATTTCAAATCTACGACTAACTTCGTAATGGTCCATTATAAGATCGTGTCAGAAGTAGTTTTAAAAAACGAATAGGATCTTTTAATTATCTTTTAATTATCGTCACGATTATCGCCATCTTGACGAATCAAAAAAGAGATATTTTCTTATTCTTCTTCTTCTTTTTTTTTCATGTTTCTCTTTTTAATGCATGCTCTTCAAACTAATAAGAATTGTGGCCAAGATTATTTAATAAAATAATGTTCGTTAATGTTTATCCATATATATATATATATATATATATCACTTCTCGTAATTAATAAAAAAAGAAAAGGTTCGAATTTCTGCATATGAAAAGATGTAACTATATCTAATTTATATATATATATATATATATATATATATATATATATATATGTATGTATATGTTTATATACATATATAAAATTATTGCAGCTTCATTCTCTCAGACTATTAACTAAATCTGTAAAAGAAACTTTTTTTCATTTCTTTTAATTAATTTAATTAATATATACATGTATGTAATTATATGTATGTATATATATATATATATATATATAATAAAAAGATTGTCATTTTTTAAACATTGCAGTCTTATCTATTTTCATTGAGAATTAATAATTTGATATCACTCGAAACCTTTTAAAGATCCATAATCTTTTTTTTTTCTTCTCTTTTCTTTTCTTTTCTTTTTGTCGATTAGAGTCATTCGTATAATATAGTGGAAAATAGGAACAAAAAAGAAAAAAATATACATTAACCTATTAATAATATATAAGAATTGTTTAAAAGGCTTCACATAATATATTCTCAATGAAAGAATTCATTACTTAACTCTTAAAAATATAATTAATATGCGCCATGATATTCATATTTAGAAAAAAAAAAAAAAAAAGATTTACAGAATTAATCATATATAGAGTAAGTACAAAAAAAAACATTGCAAGTCTAAGTATTCTCATAATACAAAATTATACGTACTAGTTCGAGTTACGTATATATATATATATATATATATATATATATATATATGCCATATTAATTTTCGAACGATCTTTTATATTTTCAAAAATTGTCAGAAACAATTGTTGAAAATAATTAATTGTTTAGCACAAATATCAATGTAAATTCAATTCGAACGTTTATCTAATTACCATACCAGTTTAGTTGTAGTACATTGGTAATTTTGTTTTTTTTTCTCTTTTATCTATACTTTCTGCCTTCCTTCTTGTTTTCTTATTCATTAAGATAGATCACGGTTGAAAAAGTTAATGTCGTCGATATATTCGAAAATAATAAAAAAAAAAAAAAGAAAATCAATTCACTTCTGACGTCGTTTACCTATTGAATTTCTTTGTAATTTTGGATCGTTCGTCGTTGAAATTGTCTCGAATGATGATTTTGATTGATAAGATCCTGAATTTTTGGATCTCATAGGACAATGGCTCACGGTATGCGCTGTATCTCCAGTAGCACCACAGATTGGACACGTATATGCCCTATTAAAAAATAAAAATATTATTGACATATGATTTAAATTCAATATAAAAATTTAACCTCAATACGATCGATATTATCATTATCGATAATATCGATTGAATGTTCTCAAGTTTGAGAATTCAATCTATCGAGGATTTCTACGAAGGAAGAAAATAAAATTAAGACATAATAAATATATGATTAACATTAAATTTAATTAAACACAAATGGAAATTATACTCTATCGATATCTTTATCGATAATATTGCCGACTGAATAAAATCAAGTTAAAGGAAATATTTCAAAGCAACGCCACCTACCGAGAATCCCTATTAAACTAAAATACTAAAAACAAATGAAATCACGAAACTATCGACGAACTCTCGTATCTCGAAGCTATCGAATAAAGACATCGAAAGTATCTGTTTTCTTTCGTGCTATTGTAATAGAAATCCCCCCTCGAGTTTACTCTCTACACAGAGGATAAACATACTAGAGACATATATGTCCGTGAATAAATACGATTTATCATTTCCTCGCCGCTTACCTTCAAAGCTGCATGCGTAGCGACGGCGGTGCCAGCGTCCAAAAAGTAGAAAACAAAAGACGAAAACTTTTACAAAGCTCAGAATTTTTCACAAGATAGAATACGAAGAAAAAAGTATATATATGTGTGTACATATATATATATATATAGGTAATTATTAAAATTTTATAGAAAATTTCGTAATTAATTATATATACCATATTATCTTTGATCATTCTATTTATTATTATTATTATCTTTTTCATTCAATAAAAATTATTTATTTGATTATTTAATTAGGTTAAATGTTAAAAGATTAATATATATTATGTTAGTATATATTTAAAAAATTAAAAAATATTTTCACCTAAGAACGGGACACTGCACTCGGCCATCAGCATACTTGATCAAATGTTGCCGATAGTATATTTCCTCAACGCCATTGTTTCTACAAAAGACGCATACGTTTGGTAATGGCTTTTTCGGCTTTTTTCGACGAATATTAGCTACAGGCTGTTGATAATCGTCGACATCCGGACAATATTCAAAATCCCGTCCATTGTGACGAAATTCTTCCATCACGTCGTCCACTGTATTAACAAAACACATACATATGTACATATATGCATAAATACATTTTTATTATAGAATTACAATGTCATATTCGAATCGATAATCAAACGAGCATATTTGTTTTTAATATTCTATCGTATTAATCTCTACATAAATGTTCGTCTTTTAAAAACTAACCTCTCAAAATTTATTTAACAAAATGTCAATGTTATATCTGGTCATGTTTTTCTTTTCTTTATTTCAACTAACCTCTCTAACCTCTCTTAAAATAATTAAATCTCGTATATCGTTAATAGTCATTTAAAAATTATCTTTATAAAAAAGACAAAAAAAAACAGAGAGAGAGAGAGAGAGAGAGAGAGAGAGAAAAAGAAAAAAGAGATTCAATCTAATTTTACGACACTCGGAAGGATATTTATTTTTTCTTTTCGTTCATTTCAAAAGAGGAGCTTTCGATTAGCAGAGAGGAGAGAAAGCGATATATGTATTGTTTGTTTTACCGAAGGCCATGATCGCATACGTAACTACATATATATATATATATATGTATATATATAATACGTATATATATATATACGTATAGAGACGTACACTTCGAAAAAAAATAATCCCCTAACGTTCTCGAATCTTCATGAGTACAGTATTGTGTTACAGATCTTGTAAACAAAGGGCGTTCGAACTTAAGAGAACGTCGTTGTATCTAAAGAGAGGAACGGAAAGCGTCAAAGTATTTTCTCGTATATATATTTATTCGTTAAGATAGAGGAGAAAGAAAGAAAGTAGAATGGTGCGAAAAGAAAGAAAGGAACGAAGAAAAAACCTTCAAAACATTTCTCTCTCTCTCTCTCTCTCTCTCTCTCTCTCTCTCTCTCTCTCTCGAGATTAAGAGAGAGAGAGAAAGAGATCGTAAACTTCTAGAACGATTTTAATAAACGTTTTGAAACATCGTAACGTTCAAGAAAATAAGTAAACAAAAAATGAAACAATAACGAAAGTACGATACATTTCAAAGTGAAACGACATAACCTAATTTATCAACCAGACAAAATATTTAATTTACTTCGTAGTGGATTCTACACGATAATTTTAATTATATTATATAATCATATTATTCGTTAGATTTAGATATTTAATTAAATGTGCTATTATTTTTTTTTTCTTTCTAATTCGTTGATAATATCGATCGTTAGGATCGTTATATTTTTCTTTATGTGAAATTTATTCTGATAGAAAAGATAAAATATCGATAAGGTTATGTTAATATTATATTATATCGAGATTATCTGCGTAATATTAAAATAAATATTTTCAAGTATTTAATTTATTAGTAAATAGCTATTATTGATTGTATTTATTTCTAAATGCAAAAATTTTCTGTGAAAATAATTATTCTTATGATTAGTATAATTTCTGCGAAGTTATATATATATATATTTCTTTCTTTCTTGAGAAATAGAAACAAATCGTACATCGTGATCGAGGTTATGTATAAAATTAATTTAAACATTTTTAAATATTTTTCATATTATCAAATGATTACTATAGGAATTTTATTTATTACTAAATAATTTGTCATTCTTAATATATTTTATGACGGACAAAAAAAAAAAAGAAACAAAAATATTAATAATACATTATATATTATATTAATAATATCATTAATATAAATCTTTGTAAGTGTGAAAAGATTAAAAAAAGAAAAAGATAAAAAGAAAAAAAAAAAAGCAATTGTTTTTGAAACTTCGTTCAGTGAGAAATTAAGACGAACTTATATTGAAATATTACGCTGGACCGTTCGAAACTTCTGCGCAACGATATTAGAGATATATTTATCTCTTTATTCATAAAATCGCAACCTTCATAAAGTACCTGTAAATTTCAAAAGGTTGGGTTTTTTCCAGGTAAAACTAGGTAAAGGACCTTCCGTCCTTTCCTTTTTTCTTTTTCTTCCTCCCCCCCCCTTCTCTCAACAAATTTTAGATTTTACGAAATCCTAGAATATATAAGTATAGCTAAGAGTCTTGTCCTAAATTATACTCAAAGATATTTCTTCCCATAGAAATTGTTTTTCTCCTATTATTAGCTCGACGAACATTTTCATAGATATTTTAAATAATGAAAATTAATCAATACGCCGTATATAATCTTAAGTAACAACAAATAGCGTCTTTAATATTCTTCAATTTAACATTTTTTATAGGTTAGGTTAGATTAGATTAAAATATAACACGAACTAGGAAATGTAATTCCTCCTCCTTTAAGAATTATACCATGCCAATATATAAAAAAAAAAAAAAGAAAAAAAAGAAGAAGAAAGAAAGAAAGAAAGAAAAATCAAAAAGTCTACCGACAATGTTACGTTTTAACAAATTAAGTTAAAAGTATCAATTTACAACGAAAAATGCTTACGTATGTATGACATGATAAAAAAAAGTCGACGTCTGCGATTTTTTTTTTCTTTTTTCTTTTTCAAAGTCCTTGAAAAGTTCTATTAGATATATATCGTACGTGTTAAAAAGAAAAGCAATAAAAGAATATCTTTAAGAAGATTTTTCGAGAAAATTAAATACTTTGCTTTTACGTTTTTTTTTTTTTTTTAGGTTAGTTTATAACTAACGATAAGAAAAAAGTTTGCCAACGATAAAATGGGAATGAAGAAGATAGTATTACGAATGTTTATACGATTTTCTTTCGTTGTACGTTACCGAGAAATACCTCCTTCTTATACGAAAAGAAGGGGAGGGGGAGAAAAAAAAAAAAAAAAAAAAAGAAAAAGAAAAAGAACTTTTAACAAGCGTGAACACGCGTCAAAAACTTCGTAGCCTTCTTTTTTTTTATTCAGAACTAATTCTCTTGAAAATACTGCCTCTCTGCCTCTCTCTCACTCTCTCACTCTCTGTTTCTCTTTCTTTTATGAGTGCACGACAGTATAATATATATACCAAACCTGATATATGTATCTCGAATGATCGTTGCGAGAGTTAATTTGTTTACAAACGATCGAAGGTTGATTAGCTGACTAAGATAAGATAAACACAACACACGTACACACAAAAATGTACACGGGCACATAGGCACATCTTTATAGTGAAATTGAAAGAACGGTAAACCCTTCGAGAATAGATTTCAAACGATGTAATGAATGACCGATCGATCAATCGATCGATCGATATTATTCGATAATTAAAAAAAAAAAAAAAAAAAAACAAGAAAAAAAATAAATAAAATAAAACGAAGAAAAAAAAGAATCGAAACCAACTTCGTTATCGATCGTGAATCAATTGACACGTTAAAAAAACAGAAAAAAAAAAAACAAACAAAAAGAAAAGAGAGAAGAAAAAAAGTGAGGTTATAAATTATGCCTAATCGCATATTACGTTAATCCTTTACGTGACAAACAAATGTCGACGACGTTGAGACAAATTATGCTGAATAATAATAATAATAATAATAATAATAATAATAATAATAATAATAATAATAATAATAATAATAATAATAATAATAAAAAGAATAGAAAGAAATAATACTGCGTGCGTCATCGAACACCACTTTCATAATTACGTATACTTGGAGAGATGGAATTAGATATATACATATATATAGAGAGAGGGGGAGGGGAGAGATAGAAGAATCAAGTGAGAACGCGGAACAAAAACAAAAAAAAGAAAAAAGAAAAAAAAACAAACAAAAAGAAATCGGGAAAAATTCGTGGAATCATTTTTTACTTTCTTCATAAGTCAGTCAATTATTCAAAGGACGTAATAAGAGAAGGTGTCAATAGTGTACGATAATCAATTGTTTAGCGTGCAACGATATATCAAGTATACGTCATCGATAAAGCGCGATTAACTTCACGTTATTTCTTTCTCTGTCTCTGTCTCTCTCTCTCTCTCTTTCATATTTTTCTTTTCTTTTTCCTTATCTCTATTAACTTTTTAATGCATTTCGACTAACATACATATATATACGTATAAAACCAACATGACCACAAAAGATATAATGTGTATGTATATATTTCTCTCTCTCTCTCTCTCATATAAGGCACAACAATATCAAGTTAGACATAGTGAGGTGAGTGAAGTTAGAGCGTAATAAGAAACGAGATAAAAGTCTTCGCACGAAAGGAATTTGCTGTTGGGCGTACTTGATCCTTCTTCAGTCAGGCAAGCGGATTCAAAAGAGAAAGATTTTTCTCTCTCACTCTCCCTCCTTCTTTTTTTTTCTCTCTCTCTCTCTCTCTCTCTCTCTCTCTCTCTCTCGATGATCGCATATATAAAATTATGATGTAATCGACATAACGGACGAGACACGTAATAGAACGAAAGAATAGTAGGAAAAAAACGTTGACGAGGAAGAGGAAGGAGGAAGATAGGAGGAGGAGGAGGAGGAGGGAGTGAAGGGAGGGAGGGAGAAATGAGGAAGAAGAAAGAGTGAGAGAAGAGGATATACGCGAATAAGATAGAAGGAATTAGAAAGAAAAAAATGAAAACAAAAGCTCTCGATGATCAGTTATTCGAATTAAAAGCAAAACAAAACGGAAAGGAACGACGGAATGAAACGGAACGGAACGGAACGAAACGAAGAAAAAGATAAGAAAAACAAAAAAGAAACGTTAATAGAAGAGGTGGAAAAAGAGAAAAAGAAAAGCAAAGAAAGGAGAAAAGAGAAAAAAAATAGGAACAGAAGAAACAAGAATGTAAAAAAAAAAAAAGATATATCGATTACTTACCGTTAGGATACGGATTGGTATAGTAACTGTAGAATGTGAAATCATCGGTGAATAATCGTTTAAGTTCCTCCTGCAAGCTTGGATTGAAAGGGAAAAAGCAATTTCCCGAAACTTGAAGCATTGGTAGTTGCCTCGATTTAACACAAAACATCGTGGCTTTTATCATCGAATATTTCTTTCTTTCTCTTTTTTTTTTCTTTTTTTCTTTCTTTTTTTTCTTTTTTTATATATCTCTTCGATACGAGATTAAATTCGTATATCTATATATACGTATTAATTTGTATATATATATATATATATATATATATATATACATATATACTGTGTATATACGTTTCTATGTATGTATATATGTAACGCGTGTATTTGTGAGAGATGTGTCAATGTATCGTTAAAATCGATGTATATATGTTTTTCTCACGCTCGTAAATGTGTAAGTTCGTGCGCGAATGCGCGCGTATATCTACGAGAGTGTTCCCCGTGCGTATGTGTGTGTAAATGTACGTGGCGAACGTGAATATATATCTATGTTGTATATATATATATATATGTGTGTGCACGTGTATGTATGTTAAGTGTCGCACGTTTTACACTATCGAAAAACTTTCACCCGAGCTTGACGACTTTTCCAGTTCGACTGAAGAGAGTGAGAGCAGGGATGTCATCGGCGATTGGAAGAAGAAAGGATCTAGTGGTGGGGGTTAGGGTGCCGTAGTTGGGCCTACGAACTGATGGAAGAAAAAAAGCGGCTTATTTGAATCCACTGGTTTTGATTTGACATGCTTAGGTAATATATCTCATATGACTATTATAGCGTTTATCCTTTATTTGTTTTTCTTCTTTTTTTCTCTTGTTTCTCTTTTCTTTTTTCTTTTCGATATCTGGTATCTTTTTGTTTTAAAAGGGGGATGTTTATCTCTTATGACCTCATGTTACTTTGAAATCATGTATGTATATATATATATATATATGTACTATACATATATGTATATATGTGTATTATATATATATATATGTATAATATATATCATAGTTTACCTTTTATATCGTAATATTACTTTGAAGTTATTTATAATATATATATATATATATATATATATATGTTGTATGTTATATAGCATATATATTGTATATTATATACTATATATATGTATATGTATAATTATAGTGCATATTTATCAACACACGCATACATATACATATTCATAATTTTGTGAGAATTAAATGTATAAGATTTAAATAAATAAGACTTAATGTATATATGTGATAAAATTTTTAAATGTATAATTATATATATATATATATATATATATGTTTTATTTATACATTATAATATGAAATTTCAAGGTTAATGTTTATCAAGTATAACTACACAATATTTATAGTATAGTTATATTTGTATAAGTTATGCTACAAGTTTTTTTTTCTTTATTTTTTTCTTCTTTTTTTTTTTCTTTTTTTTATACAAAATTTTTTCATTAGATACAATTTTATTTCATTCGTTTTTCTCACAAAATTATATATTATAATTATTGTATTATCCTAGTATAGTATAATTGTTCACTATAAATATAAATTATTCTATAAGTTTCTTCTTTATACAACGTTTTATTTGTAGAAACGAACAAAAATCAGTTTATAAAAGGTCAATTAATAAACTCGAAATTATAATTCAAAGTTAATTACAGTAACAACGATTCATAATCAATTTATTTGTATACTTTTTTTTTAACAATTAATCAATTATTATTCTTTTATTTAGAATTAAGATGATCACTTGGCTTGAATTGAACAACAAGAAAAATTTACAAAAAAGAAAAAAAAAAGATTGATTTCTATACAAGGTATAACTTGCAATAAAAAAAAAGGAAGAAAAACACAAACAAACAAACAAACAAACAAACAAACAATTTAAAATTTCAAATATCAACTAACGATGAAATTTATGGCGGATAAAATCAAAAAGGAACAAAAAGAAAAAAGGCAAAAAGAAAAGGAAGAAAAGAAAAATATAAAACAAAAAGAAAAAAAGAAAAAAGAAAGGTAGATATGTTTGTACATATACGAGCGTGTAATTTTAAACTAAGATGGTGTTATAAGATTTGAGATATCTCATATCATGATTAGCTGATTGTTCTCACGATATTTAATAAAAAAAAAAAAAAAAAAATAAAGAATGAATTAATTATATATATATATATATATATATATATATATATATATATATAAAACAAAAAAAAAACAAAGCAATTAGAGAAAAAAAAGGGAGAGGTAATTAAATACACACACACCTACATACACATCTGAAAAAGAATGAATGAAAAAAACGATATGCACTAATCTTCATCTTTATTGTTACTGTGTAAATATGTAGGCACTGAACAAATAATGTTTCATAATTTGTTTACAAACATTTACATTTACTGATCTTTTTGTTGTTGTATTATTCATCATCATTATCATCGTCATCATCTACTTCTTCTTCTTCTTCTTCTTTTTTTTCTTTATTCTTTTTTCTTTTTTGTATTATTTTCCTTTTTTCACATTTTCTTTAATTTCCCCCATTTTTTTTCCCCCATTTTTCTCTTGTTCAATCGATGAGAATTAGTTCGCTCTCTCTCTCTCTCTCTCTCTCTCTCGCTCTCTCTCTTTCTTTCTTTCTTTTTTTCTTTCTTTTTTTCTCTCTTTTTCTCTGCGAGCAGGCCCGACCATTTGGATGTCAGTCAAGTCCTACTTGTATTCCGTCTGTCGTCCGTAGACACACACACACACACACATTGTGAACCACGTGTATAATACCATTTTCGGTTTTGTTTGTTTGTTTGTTTGTTTGTTTGTTTGTTTTTCGTTCCTTATTTTTTTTTTCTTTGCGCCCTCCCGCCCCTACCCTTCCCCAACCATTTTATTTTTATTTTCTTTTTTCTTTTTTCTTTTTTTTTTTTTTTTATTCTTCTTACTCGCCCATCATTTACTTCCTCTTTCGTATCATCAGTCATCGGTATCAGTATGCGTACTCAGTTATTCGTATTCGAAATTACTAATTTGCGACCTCAATTAATTATTTATATCAATATATAATATATGTATATATTTATATATATATATATATATATGTATATATATATATATATATATATATACACATATATATGTATATACGTTCGTGTATGCATGTATATATATATATACATATATATTTATATATATATATATGAATATATATATTTTTTTATTTATTTATTTATGTACTTTTATTTTATTTTTATTATGTATACCTTTTTAATCTCTATATATACGCTAGTATATTGTTCCTCTATTCTAAAAATTTATTACCATGATTATTTTTAATGATAATATGTATATAACTCGGTGAAACTATAATATTAAAAAATAATAGTAGTATGTCGAGAACATATTACACGTATGTCGTTTTCAGAGAATTGATTGGATAGAAAATTAGGAAGAGGATTAGAAGGAGGAGGAGGAGGAGGAGAAGGAGGAGGGAAAAGAATGACGAGTAAGAATGGCGTATAGGGTGGCTCTATAAAGGAGATTGTTAGAAAGAGAAAAGGAAAAAAAAAATAAAGAAATAAAGAAGAAAAATGAAAAGTTAAAACGCGATTTCTAACTTTGGCTAAGGAGATTGATATTTCGAAATTCGAGGGCACACAATGATCGGATAGATTAGATTTTTCAATAACGTATACAACGTGGGTGGTAGAGGGGGGAGGACTCTTAAGTATAAAGCGGTGCGCTCTTGAATTTCAAAATGTCGAGATTAAATAAAAGTATATTGGTACAAAGTCTTTTTTTTCTTTTTTTTTTCCCTTTTTTTTTCTTTTTGTTTTAAGACGAGCTAGATTTAGGGAGGATTTGTTTATGTGTATATGCGTGAATCCTATGTATGTATGTATTTACGTATGCATGTACGTATGTATGTACGTAGGTATGTATGTATGCATGTAGGTGTATTCGTACGTATATGTGTATGTACGTATACTCGTATGTGTGTACGTACGTGTATACATGTGTGTCATACAGACACACATATACACGTACACACACATATACATGAATATATATATATATATTATATATATATATTCCATACATGCGTGTGTTATGTGTGCATGTAGGTGTGGTGTACGATGTTATCGTGATGAAAGAGTTATGTTTGCAAAAATTTTCAAACACACGTTAAAAAGATCTTTCATTGTTGATTGATTAATTTCTTTCCCCTTTCTTTCTTTCTTTCTTTCTTTTTTGTTTTTTTTTTGTTTCCTTCTTCTCTTTTTTTTTTTTGTTTCAATTCTTTTTTATTTCCCTCTTTTATCCCCTACCCTTCCCCAAACCCCAGTCGATCCCCCGCCCCATCCCTCCCCAAATAACCCCGGATTATTTCATCAGCCTTTTAATCATTTTTATTTTTTATTTATTCTTTTTTTTTTTTTCATTTTCTTTTCTTTTTGTCGTTTCGTCGTTTCTTTACTTTTCTTTTTTTTTTTTTTTTTTTCGTTTTTTTGTTTGTTTGTTTGTTTGTTCATTTGCTTGTTTAAATCCTATATTATATAAAATTATATAGACGAGAGAGAGGTAGATTTCTAGAAAAATTAAATTCTCACAATTTTATTCTTTTTTTTTTTTTCTTTTTTCTTTCTTTTTTTCACTTTTTTTCCTCTCTTTTTCCTTTTTTCGTTTTTCCTTTTCTATTCGTTTCCTCTCGTTTCTCCTCATTTCTATCTCTAATCGCCATATTTTCTTTTTTCTTTTTTTTGACTCTTTTTTTCGTTTACTTCGGTTCTTTTCTCCTTTGAAGATCGACAAATTCAATGTGAAATGATGAAGAAAAAGACAAGATAAAGAAAGAAAAAGAGAAAGAAAAAGGAAAAAAAAAAGACTCGCGTGTCAATGTTATATATATAAATTTTTTCTTCCTTCTCAATCTATTCCTTCTTTTATTTCATTTTATTTTTTTTTCACTTTTCTTCCTTTTTTTTTTATTCTTTACGTCCTTGTATTTTCATACAATCAGACGAGCGTTAGTTGAGACGGTCAGTTTCTCAAATAACAATAATACATATAATAAAATATTAATAATAATAATAATAATAATAATAATAATAATAATAATAATAATAATAATAATAATAATAATAATAGTAGTAGTAATAATAATAATAATAATAATAATAATAATAATAACAATAATAATAATAATAATAATATATAAAAAAGAAACCAAGAAAAAAAAAGAAAGAATGAGCTATACAAGAAGTTTATGTCACCGATGAAAATACTTCAATATAGGAGCTTGCAATTTTTTTCTTTTTTTTTTTTTTTTACGCATGATCTCTAATTACATTTTTGCATCTTGTATTTGTTGTTGTTGTTGTTGTTTTTGTTGTTATTATTTTTGTTTTCGTTCCTTTTAAATTTGTCATTATTCCCTTCTTTCAATCTTATATCCTCGCGTAAATTAATTTAATGATCTTGGTATAATGCCGATGTCGCGGTGGTCCGTTTTTGGAATAACGATATTAATTATTATAAATATATTTATATGTATATATATATATAATATTATTTATATATATGTATATATATATATAATAGGTCCATGCGTATTCGTGTGTAATTTTTTTGTTCCTTTTTTTTTCCTTTCTTTCTTTCTTTTTTTCTTTCTTTTTAATTTTTGTTTGTTTGTTTCAATGTTGTTATTATTGTTGTTATTGTTGTTGTTGTTATTGTTGTTGTTGTTATTGTTGTTGTTGTTGTTACTGTTATTGTTTTTTGTTTGTTTTATCCATAATGCGCGCGTGTAATTAATGGAGATGTGTAATGACAGTGAAGAGAGCATGTATAACTAGGAATGTACATAGTGTACGTAAATAGATATTAATTAATTAGGTTTTTTTTTTTGTGTATAAAACGATGATGTTACTTATTATATAATTCATTATTCGTTTATATCAAACGACACATAATAATGATATCGATATTTGTTTTGTTCTGTGTGTGTGTTGTATTTTTTCTCTCGCGTTAGCTTTTTTCCTTCCTTTTCTTTTTCATTTTTTTCGCTTTATCTCTTTCTCGTTTTAGTATTTTTTTTATTTTTTTTTTATTTTTTGTGGGTTTTCTTTTTTTTTTTTCTTATTAGTCTCATGGTGCGATAGCCGCATAAAGTGGATATCGTTCGCCAATAGGCTAGT